CCGCCGATGCCGCAGCAGAAGAAGCTGACGGAGCGGAGCAAGGCGCCGGAGGAGGAGCTGGGCACGGCCTCGGCTTCCCGGGGAGGCAGGAGGTGAGCCCCGCTGCCGGCCGAGGTGCCCACCTCGCTGTCGCTCCACCAGGCAAAGCACAGCGTCCCGGTCACCAGCAGCACGGCCCCAGTGATGGTCACGCCGTAGCGGAAAGAGGCGGCTGCCATCCTTCGGGAGAAGGTCTCAGGAGGGGAGAAGAGCGAGACAAGGCATGGGAGAGCCCACGTCGCTGCAAGACAAGAAAGGGACCGGGTTTGAGTGGGACAAGGTCATGGACGACCTTCCAGAGGAGAAAACGACTGAGCTAGGACATCTCTGGGGGTTGCACGCTCTTTAGCTACTTATTCTTGACCATCAGAAGGGGCATTTCCACCAACTCAGATGGGAAGCCCTTGAGCAGAGCAAAGTCAGCGGCCAGTTTGGACCCACCAACGTCCCAACGGCCTCGTAAATACATCCTTGTTTCCAAGGAACAAGGCGGAGGCAGGGTGGACACCCCAGCCAGGGGAGCTACGGCGCCAGGGGCTGGCACAGCTCCTCCATTTCAGTTTTATCCCAGACTCCCCCCAATGCTCCAAGGACCACCAGATGGGTTCCTGGTCAAAGCAAGGCTTGGGGAAGAGGTCAGGTAGAGGGACATAAGCATGTCATGGTTTCCGAATTATCACTGCACACGTTTACTCCTCTGAAACTGGAGGTAAATCAGCCCCACAGCGACAGCGGGTGTCTGGCACGGCTGCACGCAAGCCGGCAGCCCAGGGGATTCAGGGCCGCGCCGCTTCTCGCTTTCTCAGGGAGGAGGGCCGAGTACCACCTCTGAAAGTCACAGAGATGCTAATCCGGGAGGAAAAATAAAACCCCAGACCCTCAGATGCAGCCAACCCGGAGGATCTCACCTAGGGACGGCTCCTGAGACACCAAGCGAGCGGGGACCCCAAAGAGCTCTCCTGCGAGTGATGGAGCCCACAATAGCTGTGCTCCCTGCCACGACCAAGCTCAGGGCAGGGATGGGAGCAGGAATCCATGAGCATCTCCAGTAAAAGTCAAGAACGTGCTGGATACAAGCTAAACCCTCAAGGGGGTATTAGCTGCTGCTGAAGTACTTCTGCCATGCCAAGGGGACTAAAGCAGCAGGCCGCTGAGATCTACGAGGCTCTTACTGACCCAGCTACAATGCCCCATTTCGGGACACTCCAGAAGTGGAGAGGGGTTCAGTTTATTTTGAAGGCACGGTAAGAGTGGACGAGTCCACTCAACCTTCATCCAGATGAGCTTTTGCACATCAAATCTTGCTCCTCTGGGTCAGCTCCAGCACACACCTTCTCAGCTCCCCAGCACAATCAATCCCACAGATGTCATCACCACCTTCACCATCCTATCAGGGTGGTCTGGGGTGGGTTTGACAAGCAAAGAGACGAGGCGGTGCCACGTGTTCCTGCTGGGCGGCACTTCTCTGCTCGATGTCACACACTGAGAGCAACCCTCCTTCCTATTCTGGGGAGGGGGAACAGGTTTCCGACCTCTGGGGCTCTCACCCCCCATTGCTTTCTCCAGCAAACAAGAAGCATCTTCTCACTGGGCTTGGGGATCCCCAGCCCCCAAGTAACCAAAGAGCACCGGCAACCGGGGAGGCAGAGAGGTCCCACCACGTGCCCTCTGGCCTTGCTCACTGCCCAGCAAGAAGATGCAGGTTCAGCTCCCACTTCTTGATGGACAAAAAGCTTTGGACCATGTGGGAATCAAGCACCAGCACCCCCTTAGAGGTTCAGTCCAGGGTGACTCCTCGGTGAGGGCTTCTCACGGTGGCAGTGTAGCCAAGAGCCTGCACACCAGGGGATGGCCAGGACGAAGACAGAGGTGGATGGAGAGCTGCGTGACCCACGCTCAGCCTCCACCGCTGCCTTCATCACTTTGCCTGTATGTCAGTAAAATTAAGATAATCTGATGACTTTGGTCTGCACGGCTCCAGGCAGGGCTTGCTTCCTACAGTGGGGTAGGGCAGGGAGCAGCAGTCCAGCACAGACTCGGTGTGATCAAGGGCAGGTGGAATTTCGTTATTTCAAGCCATTTTTTATCAGATGGGCCCACTACATGGAAAGCCAAATTACATCGTAGTGAAAGAAACACCGTCTGATCTGATCTACCTTTAATGAAGGAATCCGATGAGAAGTGGGATTTAGGAAACCTGGAAGAAGGCTGAAGGACTGGGAGCCCCGACAACACGCTCCAGCTCCTGTCCTGCAGTCATAGCCGGAATTGTCACCCGGCTGGGGGTGGCCGGTGGTCCCTCCAGCAGCCGCAGCCACCGCTGAGAAGGAGGTGGTGTTCCTGGGCTGAGGGGACAGAGCTTCCCCCCCGACGAGGGGACGTGTTCAGATGCTCCCTCCGGAATGGCAGGGGTTTGGCTGAGCCGAGATGGAGACGGGACTGCTAGAGCCGCTGTTAGAGGCGGCTAGGGATCAGCGTCCTCCAGCTCACCACCAACGCGAGCAGGACACGGCGGACAAGCTGGGCTCACGCTGCCTTGCAGCAGCAGATGCTCAGGAGAGCGCAAGGACCCTGCTGACCCGTGAATCCAGCTCCTTTTGAGAGCATCGCATTCACCTGGAAAATTTTCAGCCAATATTGTTTAAAAAAAAAAACCAAACCCACAACCCAAGAAACCCTGCAGCAAAGCTCTCGATCCAACCGTGTGGAAACGACAGGTCACTCCGAACTGCAAGCCTGGGCTGAAACAGCACCGAGAGTTGCAACGTTCAGCTCCTGCAGCCAACGCTCTCCTCACTTTGGGGTCAGCCTCGTGCAGTTTGGGAGATGCCACGGTTCCCCAGGCAAGGTTTGGGAAATGCTGTTGTTCCCCGGGTGAGGTTTGGGAGATCCTGCAGTTCCCCAGGTGAGGTTTGGGAGATGCTGTGGTTCCCCGGGTGAGGTTTGGGAGATGCTGTGGTTCCCAGGGTGAGGTTTGGGAGATCCTGCAGTTCCCCGGGTGAGGTTTGGGAGATGCTGTGGTTCCCCGGGTGAGGTTTGGGAGATGCTGTGGTTCCCCGGGTGAGGTTTGAGAGATGCTGTGGTTCCCTGGGTGAGGTTTGGGAGATGCCGTGGTTCCCCTGGTGAGGTTTGGGAGATGCTGCAGTTCCCCTGCCCAAGCACAGGGAGTTCTGCAGCCCCCGGCGCTGCACACATCTGGGAGCGCTGGCAGGGAGGGGGAGGCAGACGTGGAGGGAAGGCGGAGAAGCCTCTGCGAGGTGATGGATTGACAAGCTCAAGAGAATAAACTCTTCACTCTTGACAAAAGCAGCGCGGGGAGCGATGCTCCCAGCCCCTCCAGCCTACCTGGCACGTGCTCCAGCAGCGTGTGTGCGGGGGCAGCTCCTCCACGCTGGGTGACATTGCCATTGCACCGTCTCCCTCCCAAAACCCCTGCCGGGGTGGCACGGCACTCCAGAGCCTCTTTAAAAGACCCAGGGACGTTTTTCTGAAGGCACCAACGGCTGGAAGAAGAGGCCAGAGGAGCCGGGGTGGGAGTGGAGGCTCCCATCCCAGCTCCGCTCCCGGGGTGCTGAGCACCCCACATGTCAGGTCTCCCGCCGAGCACTTCCAGGGCAGGCTTCCTCCGAAGACGGCAATTACCGGCTCCCAAAGAGCCACCTCCACCCGCCAAGCCACCCCAAACATCTTGTTCTTCCCCGTCTCCTCCTTTGACCTGCTCCGAAATAGTCTTTCCGGGGAAATACATTTGCACGCCGCTTGTACAAACAGATACGAATGTTGATAGTTTACGTAGTTCCAGCGAGATGCTGAGAATAGCATCCCCCTTACAAAGTTATGCGGGTGGTGATTCATAGGGTCTACGAAGCGTTGCTCGGAAAAACACCCTCACCCGGCGACGCAAGAAACGAAAAGGGTTTTGAGATCTCTCCCACCGCCGCCAAGCAGAAACCCACCCCCACAGCCTGCCCTTCCACGCCGTGCCGGCCGGAGACCCTTAACCACGCTCAGGCGTGGCGAGAGGGACACTGGGGAGAGACGTGGCGAAGTGCGAGCGTGTCGTACGATCACAGCATCACTAAGGCTGGAAAAGACCCCTAAGATCTGGAAAAGACCCTGCTTCGGCAGGGGGGTTGGACTAGATGACCCACAGAGGTCCCTTCCAACCCCTA